ATAATCCCCCTTTGGCCACTTCATCCGTTATTTTGTAGTTTAGAATTTTCTTTTAATTTTAATGAATTTATGTATTTGATAATGTTTTGAGGTGAAATTTTTATATTTATTTATAACCTTATTATATTCATATGCATTTTCTTTATTTTCACCTCAAATGAGTCTTCGTGACTCAATTTTTTAACCTGAACGAAGCTTGCCACCTCTACGCGGTGTTCAGGAGAAACTGTTGTAGGTTAACCTACATCTGGCTAAGAGCAAGCAAATACTTGTTTATTGAAAAAATTAATTATATTCCTATTTCATATGTTTTAATAAAAGAATTTTTTTTATAATAAAAATAATAATAAAAAGTTTAAATAGAAAAATTTCTAAAAATCGATGCAGAGTAATTAATTGAACATGTAATAAGTCTCACCCATTACAGAAATCAACTTTCCCCTACTTAACCGCATTAATATCGATCGAACATTTAAAAATTTTAGAACAGAACTCTATAAAAAAAAATAATTTGATATATAAAATAATGTCGTCATTGAAGAAAAACGACTGATTATTTAAAAATAAAGATTAATAATGTTACGCGATCTTTTTCATTGCCAAGATCACGTGATATTGACCGTTAGATCAAGTTCAGATCGGTTACGGTACGTTTGACCGAAACCCAATTGACCGAAACCCATCAATAATTGGTAAGAATATATATTTTAATATTTTGTTTTAAAATTATTTTATTTGATAATTTAAACTTTATATAATTAATATTTACAGATACGAATGTTGGCAAATATAAAAGGAATTCAAATAACTTCACAATGGTAATGAATCATTTCGTTAATATTAAGCTTTTTAAATAATGACTAAACTTGTCATTATAATTTTTTTTACTTAATTAGAAAATCAAGAAAATTTTATGAATTAAGTCAAACAAAGATTAACAAAGATTAAACTTATTAATAGCAACGGTAAGTAATAATTTGTAAAGTTTATTTAATTCTTAATATTTTCTAACACTAAATTGTTTATTATCATACAAATGATTAAATTAGAACTCATTATAGTAGAAAACGATATAAGAAATTAATAGATCTAATTGTTTATTTCAAAATTACAATTTAATCATTGTAATCTCATTAGATGATGATGGATATATAATAATTCAAATGTTCATTCAGAAGAATTAGAAATTCCTGAAGATAAAAATTAAGCAAAATTAATAAATAAATTTATAAGGATAATATATTCACAAGATATTAATTATAATTATAAATATATTTCCATAGATGACTTTTATCGGGAATTATTTAAACAATAAGATTAGATAAAAGTTTCTTAGTCTGTAATTTAAATATTTCATAATATTAGTTTGTTTAAACATAAGTTTGAATGCCTACAAAAACTGTTAAAATCGGCTTTAAAATTTCAAAGTGCTATTTATAAATTTCATGTAGAATTTTTGAAAGTTAAAAGTAAATAACATTTAGCATAAATAGTAGAACGATCAAAATCACATTTATAATGACACGTCTTTGTATCCATGAGCAATTTATATGGAATGCCAAGATGTCATCCATCAAATCTTCTTGTAGTAATCTTTTAAAAGATATTAACCATTTCTGGTGAAATATGAAAATATCTAATTGACTTTACTAAAAGCCCCCTACTTCATGATAATTTTGTTCAATTACAAATCCTTTTTATAATTATTCCATCAAAGATGCTTCTAAACCATAAATTTATCTGATTCAAATATCACTTCAGGTTCGGACAAATTTTATCAAGGCAAATCTTACAAATTTTGGTGAATAATTCATATTGATAGATCAGAGTTCCTATAGGGTCGTGTTGAATCTACAAGGGATTAAAATTAGTATGTTAGTTTATCTACTACCAACAAGAGCTCTTATACATCAGGATCTTTTAATTCCGTCAAATCATCCTTTTCACAATAAATGTATTCAATGATAATTTCAAATAATAATATTGAAGTATAGATATTCTTTAGATAACGCAGTACGAGTGCGCGCGTATTTCATTAACATTGTCATCGAACTGACATAGATAATAACGTCATATCCTTCGCAAGTTTCAAGACATTATTTATTTATAGAATCAAAAAATTTTTCACATTTATCATTACTGTACATATTTGTTAAGGGTCATGAGATTTGATACTCATTATTAAACAATATAGCACTAACTCAAGCATCTGATTTTAATTCCATTTACACTATGCCAATAATTTTGAAAATAAAATTTAACAAAAGATTTTGAAACTGAGTCGATTGAGTTTATCGATTTTATAAAGAATATGGAATCTTTAGATTATTGTTATATTTTTTTCCAAACCATTTTTCGGCCTGCCAATCGTGTTCATCTTTTATAAAGAATTATCTTAAGGATAGTTTTATATGAACTTCACGAATGAGCATCACAGCTCTCAAATAGTAAATTGAAACAAACCATCGAGTCTATTTGATATTTTTATGATTGGTTACAAAAAATTCGGTATATTATCCCGAAGCTAATTCCGGTTCAATTTTAAAATTGTCAGGCAGCTAAAGTTCGAATAAAGCAAATTGATTCTAAAAAAAAAACACATTTGACTAAAATTTCAGTTTCAATTTTTTTGATTATCTTTTATTTTATTATTTTTCTTTTTTTTTTACTTTTTAACTTGAAATTTATTGATGGACCAATGAAGTTTCTACTGAGTTGACGTAAAGTATATCGTTTAAATGTATCGTTCGTTTTTATTTTTTGAAGTACCAACCTATTCAACGCATTCAAAATAATAACCAAAATCAAAAACCTCTTTTATATCGCAACCGCATATACAGCTCCGTTTCCATCATCGTCAGTCGTTAAATAAGGTGCTATTCTCACTATCTCTTTATGGATGTAATGTAAAAACACAGACTCTCAAACGGATATCTCTCAATTTAAACGATACCGATCACAAAATTTTGACTTTCAAATAAAGTTAGAAGTTCGTAATACTTTGATTCAAGGATTTTTTGCGCACAGTGCATATTAGTATTATTTAATTTTTTTATTCTTTTAAATGATTATTATTTTATATTAACAAATTTCAAAACGGGTTTATTAAGTAAATCCAATAATCATTTGCAACTATTTTTATTTCATGATATTTTATAAAACATTCAAAAAAGATTATTTGTTACCAACAGATTCAACACCTGTACCATATCTACTTCCAAAAACTTCAATAGAATTAATTATTTGTCGGATTTCGGATAATTCCTCGTTAGAAAGCTTTACATTTGCTGCACCAAGATTTTCTTCCAAATAATGGATCTTCTTTGTACCAGGAATAACGATCATGTTATCACTCTAAAAAGAATTTAAATTATCATAAAAAAGTCTTACATCAAAAATAAAAATTAATAAATTTGTGTTCATACTCGAGCTAGAACCCAAGCCAAACAAAGTTGACTTGCAGTTAAACCTTTCTTATTGGCAAATTCTTTAATTTTATCAACAATTTCCAAATTCTTTTTAAAATTGTCACCCGAGAAACGGGGCAGAGTTCGACGGTAATCACTCTCATTTGGCGCAAAATCATCGATCGATCGATACTTTCCTGTTAAGAATCCACGACCGATCGGACTATAAGCAACAATACTAATACCTAATTCATGACATGCTTTCATAACTCCATTAGTTTCTATCTCAAGTGACCATGGGCTATATTCAATCTTTTGTAAAAAGATTATCAATACTTATTTATTCATCATTTGTTTTTAAATTTTAAATCTCATACCTGTACAGCTGATATAGGATGAACTTTATGAGCGCGTCGAAGTTGTTCCTCATTACATTCCGAGAGTCCGATGTATTTTACATTGCCTTCTTTAACAAGTTCCGCCATAGCTGCAACACTTTCTTCGATCGGGCTTTACAAGATAAAAGATTTAATTCTTCTTCATAAAATCTCAAAAAAAAAAGAAATTAATTAATTTTGCTCACGTCTTAGGATCAATACGATGCAAATAATAGAGATCGATCTGATTAATCCCCAATCTTTTCAAAGAATTTTCACAACTTTGGCGAACGTACTCGCGATCTCCTCTTAGATCTACCATATTTCCATTTTCGTCTCGAATGATTCCGTATTTCGTACAAACAAATACATCATTACGGCGTTCTTTTAAAATTTTTGATAAAAGAATCTCATTGGCCCCGTTTCTTCCATAGATATCCTAAAAACATATTTCAAAATTACGATGAGAATGAAAGGAATTCTCGATTTTTCATTTTTTCATTGTTTTAATGTGCTTGACGAATATACCGCAGTATCCCAAAAGTTACATCCTAATTCGAGTGACCTTTTCAATACTTTAAGGCTTTCATTCTCGTCAACGGATCCATAAAATTCACTCAATCCCTTTTTTTATTATAAAATAAAAACAAACAATTGATTCGTGATTTTTCTTAATAAACTTGTATAAACATATAGTAAAGTTTTTATACCATGCATCCTAAGCCAATCACTGGGATCTTTACTCCGGTTTTATCTAATTCGCGGGTTGGAAGAGCCATTTCTACTTTATTCTATTGGTTGTAAGTTGTATGTAAAAATTTTTTGAAAAAAGGATTTATATATTTAATTTTTCAATTTAATTAGTATGATCGTATGAGCCATCACTTTTTGGTTAGTCAATCATACAATTTCTATGAATTTTCATAAAAATAAGGTTTAAAATTTTCTTAAAGAATTACCTTATAGAGCTTGTTATATTCCCTATTGAAAATTCGAACAATTAATAAATAACCCCAATATCATGAAAATGGCAGAAAGGATAATATTATATCACATCCTTAATTTCTGAGATAAGCATTTAACCACTTAACTTACTATGTCATTTGTTATGATCGGCATGCGACTTTGGACACGAGAAATTTACAAGAATTGTAAAAAATATTTAATGTAGAATGGAGTAACACATGCAACTGTCCCCATAATTTGCTTGATTTTTATATTAAAGGTTAAATCAAAAGTCTGAATAAGAATATAATACTAATTCCAAATGGTAAAATTGATCAACTCTTCTTGTTTTTCTAATGAAGGCTGAGGAAAAAAGCTAAGCTAACTTACCTTGTATTAAACGAGTGTGAGCTGTATAGTCCTTCTAACCTTTGTGCCCATACAAAGTCGTAATTATTATTTACGTGATTTTTGATGCTAAGTATCCTCCTGAATATGATAATTTAGAAGGATTGTTTCGACGGATTCCCTCGATCTTTGGCTGCGCCAAAGTTAGTCTCTGCGAACTGACACTTCAACCATTCGATAGATAAAAACGATAGTACAAATTAGAATCATACGATCACTCGGGTCATGCAAAAGTATTACCCGACCCGACGGATTGATTTAATTAGAGTCTCGGGTCTTAAAATTATGACCCTAACCCGATTCGAAAACTTAACACCGGAGCAGTGATGGCAAATGACTGGCCATTTTGATTTGTCCTTCAAATGACCTTCAAATGACCTCAAAATGATCCGGTCATCCGGTCATTTAAAATAGGTCATTTCGCATATGACAAATAACTAAATGACCTCTTTTAGATAGTCGTGTCATTTGAAGTCATTTGAAAGTCATTTGCGCGAACCAATAAAAAACTGTAATACTTGATCATCTTTGCATTAAAAAAATTTTGATTTGTTTCGTTTCCAAATTTAGAAGGAATTTTATTTACACTTTAAAAATTAGTTATTAAACCAATAATATTTTTATAATAAAATTTATGGTTTTTTAAGTAAAATCAAAAAAAAAAAATTACATTAATTGGTAACCTTTTGCATTAATTTAAGATCAAAGTTTTGAAAATTTTGTATATATTTATATTTTAATTATTAAAAATGAAATTTTATTTAAAAATAGGTAATAGATTTATATAAATAATTGATTGAAAATCATGATTAAATTTGAATGAAAATCATGATTAAATTTGAATGAAAATCATTACCATTTAAGGGATAACGCCAAATAGACCGTTATACAAAAATATATTAAACTCTTTTTTTTTGAATTACCAAAAGTTGCAAGTATGGACAAAATCCCGTGAATTTTTTACATTAATAGAACCTCAAAAAAAAGTTATAATAAATGGTATTTTTGTATAAAATACACACTTTAGCAGTTGCTTTGGTTAAACATAGTTGCTTTATTTCAAATAAAACAAACTTTATATTACCTATCATTTAAAATGTAAAAATTTTGAACTTAACGTTCCTAAAGAAGAAAAAAAATCTTCTCGTAAAGTAGTATCTAATGAATTATCTTCTCCATTTCTTGAAAATAAGGAAATAAAAGCTTGATTTTATTTTATTTTACCAGTATTGAAATTACCAAGGTAATATGTTATGAATGATTGTACTTTATCTTATTCAATTAAATTGTTAATTTAATATAAGATATTACCAAATTGATATAAGAGGATAAATAATATTGGTCTTACCATAGCATTCGATGGATAAACTAATATCAAATAAGAACATTTATTTGGTATTATATTAATTATATCACAAGGTAAAACTTTTATTTAAGAAGTTTGATATTTTAGCAATGAACATTCCTATACTAAAAATATTATCAATCCATATTAAAACAATTATGAATAATTCAAAAAACAATAAAATTAAGCTTAATTGTTTTATTTCAGATTTAACTAACAAATATACTGCTATCTAATAAGTCTAATAAGTAAATTAAGTTTTTTTAATAATTTATTTAAATTATAATATAAATTAATTAAATTATATTTTATTTTTTTATAAATAAAAGGAAAATTATATGCATTGAATATTCAAACAAAGTTTTCTTATCATATATGACTCATTAAATAAATTTGATAGTTGATTAATTTTTTAAAAAATTAAATATATATTAATAAACTTATACTATAGTTATCAAAATAGTTTGTTATTTTTATTTTTCAGCATATTTTATAGGTAAAAATGCTTATCTAAACCTTTTTAAAATTTTATGATTAATTCCAGTAAAATTTTAATATAGTTTCATTATAGTTTTTTGAGTTTAACATTTATTATAATAGTTTCAGCATTTTAGTATTTTGCTATAATTTTAGAATAAGTTTTTATAAAATTATAGTATAGTTTTAGCATTCATTATTTTAGCATTTTGATAAATAAAAAAAACTCTTTAGTTTTTCAGTAACCTTATTTATAAATCAACTTAGAAATGAACAAAATGTATTAAATAAAAAATCTATAGCTTTAAATTTACCTAAAAAACCTATAAAATAATTTTTATTTTTACTTTTATAGGATTTTAAAAACTGATGTTATTTTAAAGTAAAATTTTTTAATTAATTTTAAAAATTTAAAAATTATAAATTTATAATAATGATAATTATTTTTATATTAGACTTTAATTACTAAATTTTTACCAAATATATTGGCAATTTTAATACATTACAAAGTGATAATATATAATAAAAATCAAGTTCAACACTAAAAATCAGAACTATAATTAACACTTTGTAACTTTTAATGTTATAAAATATATTACTAAAGATATTATCCTAAACTACTAAAAATTAGTTTCAGTTAAATAAAACTAGTTTTAGTAGTTTTATCTATTAACTAAACTAATTTTCACACTTAACTAAACTAGTTTCAGTAATTCTAAACTATAAAATTTTAGTTTCAGACAGTAACACTATATGTTACAATTAGTTTTAATCTATATATATTGTAACTTATATTATTGCATTGTATATTGCAACTAAGTTTAGCTTATATTACAACATGTTGTAAATTTGTATATCATCTTTATTTAATATGTTGTAAACGGATCTACAAAGTGATCTGCAAAATCGATCTACAAAAGGGATTTGCAGAATTGATCAACAGAATGATTT